ATGGACATGATGATAACAGCTAACAACAGGCCATAATGTATAATACTTACGAAGCTATTCTGATGCAGAAAGCCATGGACATGATGATAACAGCTAACAACAGGCCATAATGTATAATACTTACGAAGCTATTCTGATGCAGAAAGCCATGGACATGATGATAACAGCTAACAACAGGCCATAATGTATAATACTTACGAAGCTATTCTGAGGCAGAAAGCCATGGACATGATGATAACAGCTAACAACAGGCCATAATGTATAATACTTACGAAGCTATTCTGAGGCAGAAAGCCATGGACATGATAATGAGAGCTAACAGGAGGCCAGATGAAACCCCAAATAGAATAAATTTCAGTTGTTTTTCCCACGAATCAGAAATGTCATCATCTTTAATTTTCTAAACCAATGAAATAATTACAATATATAAACAATCAAATATCATATTTTCTTTAAAATCAAATAAAGAAAACCACAGAGTAAAAACTATATAACCAGCCTGACTTCAAAATCATTAACATAAGAAACCAAATCCAAGAATCTAGTTCTAACAAATACTTCAAACTGGTAATAACAAATAGTAATCAACAATCTATGTAGTATATTTCTAAACAAGTGATTATCTACCTAAAACAGTTTGTAAAAAGTTATGGTAATATCTAATCTACCTGGCACATTATAGAACATACTATTGTAATATTTAATCTACCTGGAACATTATAGAACATACTATTGTAATATTTAATCCACCTGGTACATTATAGAACATACTATTGTAATATCTAATCTACCTGGCACATTATAGAACATACTATTGTAATATTTAATCTATCTGGCACATTATAGAACATACTATTGTAATATTTAATCTACCTGGCACATTATAGAACATACTATTGTAATATTTAATCTACCTGGCACATTATAGAACATACTATTGTAATATTTAATCTACCTGGTACATTATAGAACATACTATTGTAATATTTAATCTATCTGGCACATTATTGAACATACTATTGTAATTGTTGCGTCATCGAGGTCACGTGACTGGTGTGGAGCCACCTATTTTCTAGAACTATCCTGTACCTTGGCGAATGCTCTAGTATTTACTAGATATAGGGTAGTCCTGGTATATAAAAGAGGGTGACAACGTGACGGGGGAAGAATGTGTGTGTAGGTAATGAGTAATTGAACTGCAGTCAGAGAGAGACGTATTGTTGAAGTTAACGTTCGTTGTTAAAACGTTTGTAAAAGAGCGACTGTTGAAAATAAGTGTATCGTGAAGTTATATTCAGAAAGAATAAACCAGTTTTATTAAGTAAGGACTTGTGTCGTTAAGTTTCGTCGGAACGAAGTTACGGAAAGTTAATTAACAAACGGAGACGTAACAATATATTATTTTACAAACAAAACACCAGTTACTATAATAATTTATAATAATAAACTCCACATAATATTCTCTTATTGTAGATCGCTAAACGTATTCAATTACTCCTTCATTATAATGTTTAAACACTAAATCCGCAGTGCGCTTTACTAACAGTTTAAACTGACCTTCAATATAGAAATCAAGACTTGTAAAGTGTCACACCAGACTTGGAGAAAAAACCATATGATTATTTTACAAACTACATACTTCCCAATGGTTAAAGTTTTGATAATAATTCAGTGATTGTAACAAAAAACATCAGTTACTATAATCATTTTATAACAATAGTGCATGATGATTTCTTGAATGATCGGGGAAGTCCGAGTGTGTTCGAGATGCCCTCTTCGTTAGTATATAAGCCTGGCAGTAAAGCCAGCGGGAGTATAAATGAAGAGAGAGCAGTAGTTACTTTGAGTTCCGTGTAATTTATGATTCTGTTAGTTTCGAGCTAGTGAGCCGTAAAGTGTGTGTTTTGCGCTCGTC